TAATACTTAAAATAAAATATAGTGTAATACTCTGCAATTATGATAGTTCACAGTTGTCTTATTCTAGTTAAAACTGTTTGTTCAGTTTCCAAATTTGAGTTAATACAAGTTTTAATTGTATTAACTCAAATTATCTGTATTAATAATGAAAAAACATTTTATTTTTAAAGTCAAGAGCATTTGATATTAATAAACTATGGTGCAGAAAATAATATTTATCAAGTAAAAATTAATTATGAACAAAGAACTCTACTAAAACCCAGTACATTACATAACTAAAGCCAACCACTTCTGTAAGAGACTGCACCTAACGCCTCCCTCTAGTATCAAATTGTTTGGTAATTCATTAATATTATATTATACAACATATACACCTTATTGTTGAGAATCATTTTTACTACTATAACTAATGTTTTCAACCTGATCAACAGACCATCATCAAGTTATCAGTTTACTGGAATTGTTAGTGCCTCAAGCGCCACTGTATTTTTGTCATTAAAAAAAAAATTAATTTAAAACTTTGTGAACGAGAGTAGTTTGTAATGGCCATTTGTAGTGGCCAGTTTGTACCAGTGTTTCATTCTGCATTAAACGTTTTTGCAAAACCTCAGTACTTTCATATTTTTACAGTCCATTAAAGATCGACAAACAGGAATGTTTACAATCATTCTATAATCGAACCAATATGGAATTACAAATACAAATTTAAAATGGTTCAAACATTTGGTTAAAAATCAAAATATAAAATATAAATAATATAACTAATCCATTAAATACATAAACTGAACAAATCAAAATAAATAGTGTAGAACAAAATAAAATAAAATACAAATATAATAACATAAGATATAAAATGTAAAAGGGCCAATGTATAAGCTAGCGGAATGCCTGCATAGATATTTATCGGAACAGATTGGGAATGATCATTTTATTACAACAAACCCACATAACTTAATAAATGAACTCCAGGCCCTATCTTTAATGGATGAAGCAATTGGATCAGTCATGGGCTTTGAAAGTTTGTATCCATCCATAAAATTGGATTCATGTTATTATGTGTTAATTGACATCTTGCACAGTTTAAACCCAGGTGTGTTGGCTTTTTCTAAAGACATGGAGCTACTTGCAAACCTGATATGTTTACAATCATTCTTCAGTTTTGAAGGCAGAATCTATAAACAAATGAAAGGGGTTCCAATGGGCAGCCCAATGTCCAGCTTACTCTGCGAGTTAGTATTACGCAGATTAGAACAGATCACTATTATGAATTTTAGGGGGGACATAATCTTATACAAAAGATATGTGGAAGATGTGTTCATTTTATGGAGGAATGTTACAAGAATACAGCATTTTTTGAGTGAAATAAATTCCAACAAAGATGGTTTAAAACTTAAATTGGAACAAATTAGTACTACGGAAGTGCATTTTTTAGACATTGACATTTCATTCAAGAACGGTTCCTTAAACACGAAGGTATACTCAAGCCCACTCATGATCTGTTATACATCTCTTCAACTTCCAATGATCCACATACCTATAAACTTTCAGCGTTTAGAGCTCTAGTTAGAAGGGCATTCCATTATTGCTCCAACGTATATGACAGGCCTGCAATAGTTAGATAGGATTAGAGCTGTGGCTAGGACATTGGGGTTTGGAGCAAAAGTCATTGAAGGATTAATAAGTTCTTACACTGATCCTAGCAAAGACAAAACAAAGAAAGATATGAACAAGGTGACTAAGTTCACATACAACAGAAACATGTAAAATATTATGAAAGAAATTGCAGATTACAAGAACACAAGATTACTATACAAAAGGGCTCCCACAGTTTATATATTGCTTAGGAAAGACAAGGATATGATCAAGAAGGAACAACAATTTGGAGTATACAAGATACCATATAAAAATGATCAATTAGGTTTGAACAAAGAGTATATGGGTGTCACCACCAGAAACAGCAACAAAAGACTTAAGGAGCACATGTACAACATAAGCAAGGGACACTATTTTACAGCAATCTCATTCTCCAATGCTCGAGTGATTACTTCAAAAACATAAACAATAGTGAATTTAATCATTAACCAATAATGAGTCACCACCAATTCTGGGCCCAGTTCCATTAATAACAATCATTGAAGTAAAACAGGCAATCCAGAAGATAAAAAATGGGAAAACGACAGGGCCTGATGAAATCCCAGTCAAAATCTGGAAGATGCTTGGAGAAAATGGAGCCTCATTCTTAACCTCACTTTTCAATCACCTTCTAACTGACAACAGGCTCCCTAAGGATTGGACAACCAGCACAACAATATCCTTATGGAAGGGCAAAAGTGACATATGTAACTGATCAAACTATAGACCAATTCACCTATTCTGTCATGCTTTAAAAATATGGACCAAAGGCTGCAAAGCCATATAACAGTCACAAGCAACCAGTGTGGATTTGTTAAAGGCTCCAGTACAACAGATGCCATACATGCTGCTTGTCTCTTATGGAAAAACATTGTGAAAAGAATAAAACAATACACCTGGCTTTCCTAGACCTTGAAAAAGCCTTTGACTGTGTTCCACACTTGTTTATCTGGAAAGCATTATGGTCACATGGGATACCAGAGGAATATGTAAAGTGGACACAAATACTATATCACAATGTGATGAGCGTAGTTTGCTGCCTAGCTGGAACCTCAACACCATTCAAAATAACTGTTGGTGTGACCAAGGATCAGCACTCTCGCCATTGTTATTCATACTATGCATGGATACTGTCACAACTGACCTGCAGGCAGCACACTCTTGGACATTACTGTAAGCTGATGATGTGATGCTTGCACATCAGGACAGTAATCTCCAGGAGAGGTTGCAAGCATGGAGAAACTGTCTTACTGAATATGGGATAAGCCTAAATTTAAAGAAAGCAGAATATCTCGAGTGTGGGCCACAAACTGACAAAATGATCCAAGTGGCAGGCCAGACAATAAACAAAGTGACCCAGTTCAAATATTTGGGCTCTGTGTTATCTGCAAATGGTAAAACAACACCCGATGTCACGAATAAATGCTGCCTAACTCAAATGGCAACAAACCATACGCGTCCTGTGTGATAGAAAAATGCCTCAACATCTAAAATTTATAAAACTGGTCCACCCAGCATCTCTTTATGGAGCTGAATGTTGACCCACAGCAAGGAAACATGAACATTCTCTCCATGTAATGGAGATGAAGATGTTAAGATGGATGCTGGGCCTTACCTGATTTGACCATGTAACAAATGAAGACATTTGACAAAGATTGGGAATAGAAGGAATTGACAAGAAACTGCAACAGGCCTGCTTAAGATGGTAAGGACATGCCCTACTTGGCGAAGACACATCAGTTGCAAAATCAGCCATGCAACTGTGAACCCAGGAGGGCGTTATCCACACAGAAGGCCCAAGAAACAATGATGGATACCATCAAGGAGGACATGCTCATTGCCAACCTCAATCCAGAAGATGCCAAAGACTGTCCAAGTGGAGGCAACAGTTGCAACAAAGCTAACCCATACTATGGGAAAAGGTGAAGAAAGAGAGAGATCTAAAGTGGTGCAAACAGATGGTTCGGTAATTGAATGGGCTGAGGTCAGAATTGTTACACCAATGTGTTCACTAACTCTGGCATTAAGTTTGGTAAAGTTTGAAATTTATAAATCCAGCCTGACTGGCAAATGTTTAAACTACAAGGATGCCACAGGCTTACCATTGGCATGGAAATATATAATCAATAATCGCTAGTAAAATCTGATGCAAAGCATGCGGTTGATATAATTTTATATCATGTTATTATATTTGTATTTTATTTTGTTCTACATTATTTATTTTGTTTTGTTCAGTTTATGTATTTAATGGATTAGTTATATTATTTATATATTATATTTTGATTTTTNTATTAAAATAAAATTTTTTTTCTAAAAATTCTGCATAAAATATATAACTTAGTATATACAGTTGCATTATCAATTATGCAATTAGCATGATTGGTAATGCAACTGGATGGTAAGTAGGAGTTGTGGGTTTAAGTACAGTACCACTCCAGATCAATGTTTTCTTCTAGAAAACATTGATCTGGAGTGATATTCAAAATTAATTAAGATTATTATTATTACCACTAAGAAATAATAATTTAAATTAATTAATTTTAATTATCAAATTTAATACAAGGTGACAACTTAAATGCCTATCTTTAATTTAAGATAGGTATTTAAATTACACAGAATTAATTAAATTATATTTAATTTATATATTTAATTACCTAAAATGTAGCTTGTTATTTGATTAGTAATATAATTCAGGCTTGGTTTCTTTATATGATTGAAACTATATTGTCTTTACTATTTCACTGATTAACTGACACACACTGAGATGAAATATTCCAGAAGCAGACTTCATATAAAAAATAAAGTGGTACAGTTAAAAGAGAACATCAGCTCTATTATCAAAACAAATTCAAAGTTAAAAAATTTTAATATTTTATGCCTTTTTGAGGTGGGAAAGTTCAACTGTCAATACTCATAAAATGGACAGTCAATTAATTTATCTCCATTTGTTTATTTTTTAAAAAGTTTATAACTATTAATTCACAACAAAATTTAATTTTAGTATGTTGTCATCAAATATTCATTAAATTTTTAATTAGTAGTAAAAGTTACTTTAATTAATGTTTCACATTAAGTTTTTCTTCTTTAAGTTCACAAGCTAATAAATTTGATGTAATTATAATAAAATAAAATTCTTTTAAAGAAACCTTTTTTTGTAGCATTGTATGTTTAATAGCCATTGTGTATGAATTAGTTTATATCATAACTTTACAAACTGATTTTAAAGCTTACTGATTTAAAAAGATGGATATAAGTGATTTTTCTAAATGTTAAGTCAGTTTGTGGTTGTGTTAATTATATATTAGTTTTCTTGTTTGTTTTGTTAAATCTGAAATACTTTTTTGTAATGATTCTTCTTATTTAATTAGGTCAGCAATTTGAAGAAAATTTTGAAAGGTGTACTGGATTATTATAGTGAGGTAAGTAAAGCTTTGATTATGTTAATTTCATCATATAAAATTTAAAATTTGCTTTTCAAGTTCCTCAGAATTTCCAATTAAACTATTTAATATAATGGAATTATTTCATATATTTTGAGTGTAGAAATATTGCTTTTGCCAAAGAAACTTTGATATTTGTTAGAATTTATAATTTTAGTTTTATGATTATTTATAATCACAAGCTAGTGACAAAATTATTTTAAAATGATGAAAAATTATGATAAATTATATCAACAAATTATTGTAAGAAGAATAAAAGCAGTTACTAATTAATGGATTTAAATCCATTGTAAAATTCAGTGCAATATTCTTTTGATTGAATTAGTATAATCTAGAAATTTTCAATGAATTTAAATAATAATAAAGAAAACACTATTTCTGCTAATCTCAGAAATATCAGATATGATATTATTAGTTTTAGACAATATATTTTTCTTCATAGATAACAAAATATGCTTATTTAATGCCTCTTTCTCATGTTTATTTCTAATATTTATTATTACATTTTAAAATTTATCATTACAAACTATGTTATTGACAAAAGTACAGTAGAACCTCGAAAACTCGGCTCTCGATAACCCGGCACTCCGGATAACTCGGCCACACCCTGGCAGGGCAAAAAAATCCTTAGTTAATTAATTTTCATTATAGACAGCTTTATAAAAGTATAAAAGCTCTCATAAAGTATTTTTCTGAGGTCTGTCTTATCAGGTAAATTACTGTACACAGTGTATTCATTAATTTTCATTTTCATGTAGTA